TCTGGTGAAGCCTCTCACCGCCCCTGAGCCTCTGGCCTGTACCCCAGTTCTGTATGTACAAATAAATAAATCTTTAAAAAAAAAAAAAAATGCCCAAGGCAGGGGCTTCCCTGCCTGCCCTGTGACTCAGGTACCAGCCATGGTGGGGCCCTCACAGGCTGGGGAGTGGGTTCAGTCCATCCAGGGCAGGGCCTGGCCAGCGACACCCACCTCAGTAGGGTTACAGTGGCCCATCCCGTAATAGCTCACAGAGCAGGCTCAGTCCAGGCTCAGCCCTGCCTGGAGGGTCTGGCCTGGAAGCAGGTGAGGAATGGAGAGTCCAGGGGGTGCACTCTATCATGTGGGGCCCGTGGTGGACACTTCCCCCCTGGATTCCCCCAGGGAGTCATATCCTGGGTGTCATCTGGGGGTAGGAGGCCCAGGCACAGCCATCAGCGAGCTCCTGGGGGCCAGGTCCTCTGAGATGGTGTCCACTGCAGAGACGAGTGGGGCTCCACTGGACATGAGTCCCCTTGGAAATGGCTCCTCCCTCAGATGGGCCCTCCCTGGTCACTCTCTAGCAGGGTCCTGACACAGAGGAGGTGTATGGCCTGATAGAACTGGGAGTGTGGGGGGCTCAGGACTGGCTGCTTCTGTGTCTCTGCTGCTGGTGGAACAAGGAGTTGAGAGTCTCGGGGAGCTAAGGGTTCAGCTGGCACCCCAGGCCCTGAGCCTCTGTACAGCCCAGGCTGAGGCATCTCAGGGAGGCTAATGAGCAGGCCTGGCTCACCTGTGTGGACAGAGGATGAGTACTGAGGAGGTCCCGGCCAGGTGGGCGTATGTTGGGCTGGCCCAGCCCAGCCCATGGCAATATTTGAAGGTTAGAAAGCAGAGGGAGAAGGGGTCTGCTGCATACTGAGTAAGGGTCCCTGGGCTCTGAGCCGCAGGCATCTTGGCTGTGGGGATGTTAAGGGGAAGGACGTCCTAAAGGAACTCTGCAGTCTTGTGGACTCCACCCCCTACTCCAGTGACTGGAAACTACAACTCCCAGCAGTACCAGGGAGAGAACTGCGAGGACCCAAGGGCGGAGCTAAGCAGCATTCTGGGACTTTGGGCGATAAATAGGGTGCCATTGTGGCTCTCGCTCTCACTGGGGAAACAGAAGCGGCTCTCCCTACAGCGTGACCCCAGGCTTTCAGTTAGTTTGCTACCAGAGCTCCAAGTCAGCCCAGCCGGTAAGATATTCCAGTTGTTTTCTTTTCCCTTCCCCTTTTTGTAATAAACCCGTTATTGAGCCTTTTGTGTGTGCCTGCAGTGCAACTGCATTTTAAGCGCAGGAGTGAGGCCCCACAGACAGGCGGCCCAGTCCACACTGGGGTGCCCCGTAACAGGGAGACTAGTCCTGACTATGAGCTGGATGAGCACAAGGCACCCTCGGGGCACCCTGTCCACGCCTATATCCTTGCAGGCCTCCCAGCTTGCCTGCGGGGCAGGATGGGGCCTATTTTATAACTTCAGTAATGACGCTGGTGGCATTATTGGAGACGCTGAGTTTGGGGAGCTGGGTGCTTGCATTAGTCTAAGGGAAAAGCTCCACCGAGCTCCCCTTTCAGCGGCAGCAATGAGTCTCCCTGACACAGAGACGTGAGTCTCCCTGACACAGGTTTTTTGTCACTGGGAGAGAAGAATAAAGGACCCTGGGTAGACACCGCGGGCAGAGAGAGCTGTCCGGTAGGGTCAGGTTGCACAAAGGAGGTTGTGTGGGGGCCAGGGGACAGCGGGGGAGGTGCCGCCTCCTCGGCTCTCAACAGGGGGATGGTCCGTAAGTAGAAGCGCCTAAGTTAAAGACACATTTCTGTGGTGAAATGCTGAGACTTAAAAAGAAATAGGCCCCCAAATTTAAAAATACTCACATTGCGTCATTGCCTCATTCTGCTACAATTCATCTCAGGCATCAACAGATGCTCACACACTTGTTCTGACAGGTGGCTCCTGCCCTGAGCAGAAGCCCAGCTCCACCTACCCGGGTCTCAAGGAGGGGGAACTCATGCGCCTGGGACAGAATCCACGGTGGGGCCAGGTGGGGCAGCTCCCGTAAGCCAGTATTTCCCAATGGCCCCAGGCACCAGCATCCCGTCTGGGCTCCAGCCAGATAGGGAGAGGACAGAGGGCAGCCAGCCTGCGCCTCTGTGGGAACATTCCTGCACGAACACATTCCAGCTGCTTCTCTGCCTGTCCTCCCTGGGGCCTCCAGCTCCCGCCGGCCTGTCCACGGCAGCTCCCCCCAGCCCCAGTCACATAGGCCAGATGCTCCTTGTCCATGACCCTTTCCCTCCTCACTGACCAGCGCTGGCCTCTGGCCCTCGAGCAGGAGCTGGGGTGCTGTCCTGACCAGGGGAGACGGGCTCCCCTGTCCATGGGCTCTCTCATGAGGAAGGTGGCATGGGGGCTGGTCACTCCCAGGCCTCTGGGCGGCCAGGGCAGGGCTGACTTCCCAGAGCCGGGAAGATGCTCCCAGCACGAGACCAGAGAGAAGCAGCTCAGTGCACACATCATACGGACCTCACCTACATGCACCCCACACATTGGCAATAAACACTGGTTTTTCACTTTCAGATCCTGCTTTGTGGAATTATCTGTATCACACACGCTTGCTTTGGTAAATCTTGGTAGCAAGTGTTCATTTGAGTTTTCTAAGGCATAGGAAGAATTTCATTTATATCTTATAAGAAAAACTGAACAACTTTACTTTCTTCTGTAATCTTTTAAGGTCTCCACAGTTTACCACCTGCATATGATGTCGGGAGCACATGGCAGCTCTCCACCGGGGGTGTCACCACACTAAAGAGTCCACAGTTAACATCTACAGAGTGGACACTTCAGGTCAGGTGGGTGTCATGGAGGGTCTGGTTTTCGCTTACTCAATATTTGCTGCATTTTAGAAATATTCCGTAATGAACCTGTATTTCCTTCTTAACAACAACAAAATGTCATTTAAATCACCGCCTATGTAGTCTTAAGAATCATCAATTGTCTCTCATATTCATCTCCATTTTCAAAACAAGGAGGCAGCTTGGTGCTTCTCTTTGGGACTTTCCTATAGAGGAGTGATATTTCTTGATTCCACCCCCATGTCTCATTGCTCCTGAGCTCTACTAAACCTGACTACCTGCCCCTGAGAAATGACAGGTTCTGATCACTATTTCCCCTCACAGGCTCTGCCCTCCTGCTCTGGGGCTTCTTCCTGCTGTGATTCTCACCCTCCCACCTGAGCTAACAGGTCCTTGAGGCCCGGCCTACCTGGGGGTGCCGTGGGGCTCCATGGTGACACAGGCTGTGAAGGGACAGAGGACAGGGAGACACAGAGGGAGCAGAGGGACAGGCCTGGTGCTTCCTGCCTGCCCGGG